TCGAGGGAATAAACCTAAATCCAGCGTAACTATCTTCTGATTCTTCACCGTCGCCGAAACTATAACCCCCTCAATAATCTCGCTGTGCTCCGGTTCATCGGCTTCGGCTGGTTCTATATAAAGACGACCCTACTTATTTTGACTTATTATACCCCTACTTCTAACGAACCCAAATTCTGTCTTAAATGCTGGTTCTACTACCTCTCCTATCCGGCTGCCTTCCGAATCAATACGCGCGGTTTCCTTACTATAATAACGGTCGGCACGTAATAATCGGTGTCTTCGCTGCTGTCGTTGCTGTTACCTCTATAGCTTTTTCGCTTACTTCTACTGACGTCTCCCTCGGTGTATATCTTTCAAACGTTGCCGCTCTAAGTTACTATCCTACCCGGCTCCTATACCCGCAGACCCAACCCGTTCTCCTATATCTTGCGGCGAACTATTGCTCGGAATAAAAAGCGGGGATATTGGTAAGTCTGGAGTTAGAGATCTACCCGCTGTATCGTTGTTTTTACGGGGTATTGACAGCTTACTGAAGAAGGTAAAGTAGACACTCCTCCTTACCAAAGTGGAAGTAGCTTTTCGTTCCCTTTAGAGGGAATCACTATAGAGTTGGTCGATAAAAAGGAATTGACAATCTTACAGTTAGGCTTCGGTTTGCGGATATCTATATCGAGATTCCTTCTTAAATTCCCTCCCACTAACAAATTGTACTGGAAGCTTATATTTAAGAAGGACGGCCCTTAAGAAGCACTCGGTGACTTTGTTAATCAGAGATTCAATTTCTTCCCTATTGTACCGATAACGATCTGGTCGACGGGCTCTTAAAAGAGTATCTTTCGCAATTTACCGATCTAGCGACTGCTGAATAAGCTGCTCAATTTGTGGCGACTGAAACCTAAGTCTCTTTACGAGTACAGCTATCTTATACAGTATTATAGGCTCTACCACCTCACAATTAGGCTTCGCTGTAGGATTTTTCTTCTAAGGCTTTTTGGATAACTTCGGGTAGTGACGTATAGTATAGAGCTATAGTTATCGATATCTAAGTTCCGCTGGGTCCCCCTAGGAGTGCGAGTAAGATCGAAACCCAGTTTCGGATATTTATATTAAGAACTGCGTATAGGTAGAATCAAAAGATAAGAAGGCCGCACGCGTGGCGCCTCTAATCGTAGGGAATAACCTAGAAGGTATAATAAGCCGTTTAATACAGTTTGCGTATGATTCTAGGTACCAGAGATCTTTAAAAAACGTATACAGGGATAGAATTATACCCTCTGTCCTCTTTAATCGCTTCCAAATTGAGGTCCGCTCGGATACTGTAAAGTTTAAAAAGACTTCGCTACTGTGTATAAGACCTTTCACGGTGGTTCTATCCTTCGAGGAGACTCTAGGTACTAGGAGTTACAATATTTCCACCGTATAAGGGTCAACTTTGAGTATCTTAGCACGATCGTATCCCACGAGTGAAGACTAGTATTCCCGTAGCCTAGTCAGCGCGTAAACTATCTCCTACGAACGTAATCAGTATCTATATTTTTTTAAGAGTCAGACGACCTTACCTTATCGCAGCAAATAGCTAGAGCCTACGGAAGAGATCCGATTTGTATTCTATATATTATTAAGGAGGGTAAGCCGAGTAACGAGTTAAAAGCAGCTCGGACGCTCGGATGAGACTTAAGTCCGCGAAGCCGCCTGGCTTTGTTATCTGACAGCCGCGCTAACTATCGATTTTCGAAGTGTGAATTTACTTTATATCGATATTGCCGAACTTTTAGGTAAATCTCACTATCGCTTAGAACTCTCTCGTTAGAATATTTATCGATAAGGCTTGTTTGAAGATCGGGACTAATATCTTAGGGTTGTCAAAACTGCAGGAAAGTATATAGTGGATTTCTGGCTTACTATCCAAATACAAGTTAACAGTCCACTATTGGTCGATCGACGGTAAATAGTGTTCTCCGGCCTTTAATCGATATTAACTATAAAGGCACTGTATAGAACCAGTGGAGAAATAGAGGTATAGGTAGCGGCTCGGTTAATCAGTTATTATATCAGCGGTGTTTACTCGCTCTGCTTAAAGAGCCTTATAGAGATACTCTCTTAACACAACAGCGCTTACGTGGTTGTATATATCGAGTCTTCGACAACCTTCTTTGTCAAATACCTCACAGAGTCTTTCTATATTTTTTGTGTTTATATATTGCGAAATAGATAGGTAGGGGGTAATCTAGCTGATATTAACCTTAGCTGTTCCTTGGTAAGTCCGATACCTTTCTGTCACAATCTGCAGCTCAGGATCTATATATATAGACTCGTCTATAGTGCTGGTGAGGCAGAATATATATAGCAGTAGAGTATCGGTTATTTATATTTAACTGGTCTTAGCCTTATAGAAGAAAGGGTCCACCTAGCTAATTCAGTGTCCTAGTGACCAATATAACTGCAAAAGCTAGGGGTAGCCCTCAAAACAAATTTACTTCTATTGATACAATTGTATTATAAATAGGCCTCTTCGCCTTTAAGTGCTATACGTTTCTACCTTATTTCCTTTCCGTATATCTTGATCTGGCCCAAATATATCGAAACAAGATAAGCACTGCACAGCGATTGACTTTAAGAGCTACTAAGAACGGCTTACGAATAACCTATCACGAGAGACACCCTTAAGCAAACAGCCACACCAGTTTGATACACCCACCTAATTGGACAGTAATTCTAACTCAAAAAAGATAAAAACGTCTCCCCGGAGCGAATATACACGAAAGGTTGTGAGTGGAGGCCCTAAACTCTTTGGCTTACCTTAGGTGTGCGAGGAAGGTATATCTCGCGGGTTGATCGTGAGGGAGGAATCACCCTAGGACACTTATCGTCGGACACTTAGGTGTAATCTGGTAGGTGAGGTGTTTATTGCAGCTCGCCGTTCCCGTCCGTCCTAGGTAGTAGCTATTCGGGAGTACACCAAAGGGGACGTAGCTAAAATACGACGGCTGTATAATATCCTTAACCACGATAATATATTGACGGCCCGAGAGTGCTTCGTAAATAAAGGATATATATACGCTCTCGTTAACGACCTCCAGCTTACTTTGGAGCAGCTTATAGGGTGTCGGTCTCTCTATCCTACGGAGGCGGAATTAGCTTATATAACTTGGTAGGTATATAGCTCTTAACACTTTAAGTATTTTAAGCTCACGACAGTGCAGATTTTGGATGGTTTATATTACCTCAATAAAACTAGATTAGAATACCAGTCTCTGATATACCGGAATATTCTTCTCGGCCTAGATGGCGTTATCAAGATCGGTAAGTGGTAATTGCCTCCTTCGTAATGATTATTCTAACCCCCTATAGCCAGCTTAGAGATATACGTAGAACGTCCGCCGGGTTAAGCACAGAATATATATATTAAAACTCTCGCTTCTATTACTATAGAAATCATGCAGAAGTATATAAAAGATAATGGAATAGTGGGAGTAGATAACGTGGATCGTTGGCCTATCGACTCGGATGCCTTTGGGTTCCTTTCCGCCCTCTCGACAGCAAAGTCTATTGAATCTTTGAAAGATATACCCAAGCCAATATATTACGAGTAGACGAATATAAAACTAATATTTATCAGCAACCGCTTGTCCGCAAAGAAAGTCGATTGGTAGGAGAGTTAATACTTCTTGCTCGGTCTGTTTTGGTCTCTGCAAGGATATTCTATTCCTACGAGAGATAGTAGGAAACGATATCTTTCAAGGAATTATAAGTATTGGCTTACTTATGGTTTTCAAAGGTTCTATTATATACCGGTAACTTTCAATTATATCGGAAAGGCTCTCAGTAAATACATCAAGCTTGTATCCAGACAATACAATATATCAGCTCGTATACTTCAGCAAAGAGCTGTCGGTAAAGCTCTAATCTTAAGTACAGAAGAAACTAAGAACCTAGAAGTACTATATTTTCCCCAATAAATCCTTAAACGGCGGCTAGGTCCTAACTCTTCAGAATATCACGGTACAAAACCAATAATTACTAGTTATAAGTGGAGATCGTGGGCTCAGAATATCGTCTGAAAATTGAGATAGGTATAAGGCGCTATTCCTAAAATAAGACGTGGCTACTATATAAGGGACTTTATATATACTGCGTGATTGACTTATAGTGGCTACGTGATTGACTTATAACCGGCCCGTCGGGAGGCTACAGCCGACCGAAATCCTCCAATAGACCACGATCTTTATCACGAATTTATTGAAGAACTTAAAGGACAGGGACCGAGAAGGTAGTGCTATCCGCAACCACTAGCCAGCGCGCGTATCGAGAAGATAAGGATTGGTTGTAGAGTATAATCTAATAACGTTAGCTTAGGGGGTTATTTAGAGATAATTCTGAGTCAGTAATTGCGACTTAGAAAAGGCCCCTCCCTCTGGGGTACAGTTCCCTGCGGCCTAAGAGTAAGAGAGAGACGATAGTATTGTGAAATAATATATTTGACTTAACACCTACTAGATATAATTATAGCCTTAGAATCTCTGGAGAAAGATTAGGTGGGAAGAAGCAATTCTAGACAGAGACTTAAGGTTGGGAACTACCTATCTTTCTAGCTTATATAAAGTTGCTTTATTCTCTACGGGCGCCTCTTAGATAATATTTAGCTGGTCCTGGGAAAAGCCGCTATCACCTCTAAGTATAAGGTCTACTGCTATAGACTTAAACGATCGATAAAGACTGGTTAGAGCTGGGTAGCGATTGAGAATATAAATAGCCAACGTGTCTACTATTTTGTTCTAAAAAGCTGTTCTTCTACCTCTATTTCAAAGTCAGCAATACAACTATTCTATAGGGTATAAATAAGCGTATATTTGATTTACTAAGTCTTCACTGGCTAGTAAAATCACACTAAGTCCTATATAAGTAGCAGCTTTCCACTAACGCTCGCCCCAGCGCTATTGATCACTCAAATAGTCGCGATCTGTTTTTTGGGGTACGAATTAGTTCCTATAAAAAGCCTATAAGATAGAATCTCTAGCGATCGTAGGGATTGCCCTCTGTTGTCGGTTAAGCGGAATACCGTTATTCTCACTTTCCTTCAAATCATTGATATGATTTTCGAAATAAATATAGATCTAAATCTAGGTAAGACGGCGATTTATATCGTCTGACTTCAAAACTAAACAAGTGAGCGAGTTTAGGTACCTCAGATATAACACGTATACCGTTAGGGACGAAGTCAAGTTAACACGAGGTAAGGTATATAAGTGACAGTTGAGTAAAAGAGACTTAAACGAGGCAATCGGGCCGTCGGATCGTATAATTGTGATTAAGCTATTACCGCAGTCTTCGACGTCTCGAGCTTGTTTTGCGCTTATAGTCTCGCTAGTTACAATCTAATATATTGTTTGAATACAGTCAACGTACTTAGCTGCCTAGGTCCAGTTATCGACTGGCTTATATTTGTGAAAGGTTTCCCTTTCGATCTCTTATAATTTCAGAAGCTTAAGATCTAGTGAAGTGAGGGCTCTTCTCTAGTGGTGATTTTTAAGGCTAAAAGCACTAAAATTGTCTTTACTGGGCTTTAAATACTCGAGTTGTTCTTTTTCGTTGATCACGATAGGTTGGATTTCTGTGTTTCTACGTTTCGTAAAGGTATATACGCCTGGACTTGAAGTTTAGAGACCTATTGTTATTGTCTCTTTGTTGCTGTCTGTAGACTGCGTTAACTGTAAGCTCCTATCTGATAGCAGAGGGACTTCTGGCCCGTTTAAATAAAGCTAAGGGGTATATTTCAGTAAATACTGACGCTTAGTACAGTCTCCTATATTGATAAAGCTGTATTGTGAAGTAGCTAGATATTTTTCATCGTAGAGTACCTCTAGTGTGAGCTAGGTATCCCAATCAATAAGGTTATTATCAGAAATATCGGGTCTAGGGGCACTATAAGAGACTAAAGTGTCTAGGTCAAATAATACTATTATTTGTGTGCTGGTCGGCGACACTAAGAAATTAATAGTTAACTTCTCGCAACGGTGGGCTTAAAGGGGGAATATCTAGATAGTAGAAGAATTACCTCGTGGTCTGTTAAGTAAAGTATAAAGAGGAACAGACACTGAATTCGGGATAGCTAGATAAATAAAGGAAGAAAGCGAATAGCTAGAAAATAAATTAAACAATAGTATATAGGGGTTTCTAGCGCCCCCAAAAGGCGTATCTTAAAAGGTAATAACTGGGAGCTGTTTTAGTTACGACCCCAAAAAGGTATCGCAACCTAAACGGCAATTAATTAAATCATTTAACCACGATTTTTGTCTTATAGCCACAGTTTTCCCAACCCGATAAAAAAAAGGGGGATCGTTGAAGTAGATTTTACCGGTCGCTATACCCTAATAAAAATACTCGTCAACGCAGTAGTAAGGTTATAGTCAGAACGGAATCGCTTTCTGAGAAACCGTAAGAATTAGAACAGAAGCCGATTAGGAAATAGAGTACACCCTATTTACAAATCCTGAATTGTACCGTGACTGGAATAAACAAGAACAGATCACAGAAGTATAGAGTATACACTGTTCCTCGGGCCGGGGAATACACTGAATCGGTTTACGGTAACGGTGAAGAACAGATCGGGTGCAATAGTTAAACTTGTTTCTAGAGGGCGGTGAATTCTATTTAATCTGTGGCCAATTGGTTATTTCGCTGACCCTACCCGCCCCACTTAACAGATTGATCCCTTCTCGTTATAAAGGTTGAAACTCCGTCTTATACAACCTTACTCTCTGTTCGAGGTGTTTACGAACTAATTCTCTTAAACGGTCTCGTACTTCATACGATACGGATACTAGGAAGTTAGCGTCTAGTTTGTTATTTAAGGTGATAGACTTACCTATAACCAGAACCTCACCGCGGTCTTTATAAGTGTTTAGCAGCCGTTTTATATTTCGCCCGGAAGCCTCTTCTGATATAATTTCATTATATCGAGGCTTTCTATTAAAAACTGTCGCGCGGCGATACTGGCCAAACGGCTTACTATATTCTATTATCTGGTTTAATACCACAAAAAAGGACATTTCGAGTATCTATATTATATTATCAGTGCGAGTATAGTTAAACAAGAACAGCAAACCTATATAGCCATTATCCAAGATATTATCGCTTAATAAGCTGTTCAGTAGCGGTTAGGCTGCAACAGCAATATCTGAGAAATTTAGTATCGCTGGTTAGCTCTCTGAACGTAGAGGCCGAACTTACCCAATATTTGGACCTCCTATATAAAATATACCCGGCGTATATATAACGTATAAGTGTTGTACCCGTACAGGAGCTTTTTAAGATAAGATATAATACCTACTATACCGAAATCGGTTGTAATTACCAAGACGTATTCGTAATAGTCTACAGATTTGCTGACTCTATACGGCCTGTTAACAAATACTGTCAAGGAAGTATAGCTATCTAGGGCTGTACGATAGTGAATAGTCTCAGTGAGCCCTCTTCGAGGTTAAACAAAAAGCTCTAGGATATCCTGCTTTTCTAGCGACCAAGATATCACTATAAACGGGTGTGTCTGGGCCTAGGAGAATAGGCTTACCGCGGGTATCCAGAGGCTTATATATTGGCCTACCTCGATATATAGGGGCCTTATAAGTGCAATCCTTACTTTCAGCGGTATTACCTCTTTGCTCTGTATCGGCGTTTATTGCACCCGATTATATCTGATAGAGGTACGAGAATAGGGACGTAGGGGGAAGACACCGTTCCTAAAGATAAAAAGGAAAAGTTCGACCAGCAATACAAGTAGTATTGTGCTAAGCGGAATATAAATATACAGCTGGGGCAGCAGAGTACCGGATAGTAGATACCGCTATACAGAATATATACAAGCTGTGGCTAGGGCTTAGTGCAGTCGAAGGAATAGCTCGTAAAGGAAACGGCGAATAAAAGGGAAAGATAACAATAAAATCGCGGCTATAATCACAGAGCCCTAAGAAGGATTAGCACTACTAATCTGATAGGGTAGGTTAAGCGAGAGCGACGATAAACAATTAATACGAAGAGGTTAGGCTTCTCGCGAAGTATCTAGCTCTTCCGATCAGTTATTATTCCTATAATAATATATAAACTAAGAAGAATACCAGTTATCCAACCCACAGCCCGATAGATACGCTTGCACACTATCAAAGAAACACCTATAGCGTTTATAAGGAATCCCAGATAGTGTGCTAAGAACAAGAAACTTATATTGATCACTGAAAGGGTTCCGGCGCGGTCTCTTGCTATTGTTGTTAACGGAGTCTTAAAGGTAACAAGAAAAACATTTGTTACAGCGTACGCGAGATATAATAAGGTATCTACTCGACTGCAAGGAGCAATCAGCCTATAGCGACCCTATAAGTATAGATATATTAAGTGTTTCGTAATAAGGAACAACAAAATTCTGAGTAGATTCAGAAAGGAGGGGGCTATACGAATAAGAAAGAGTATTGTCAGTAAGCACCCCACTGCAATAGCGTAAAAGATCGTGATTTCTATTGTTAGTCAGGACTTAGATATTATATATTTTTCAACTATTGTAAGGAAACCACGGTGCTTTATACTCCCAGGATAGTAATCCTCACCAGTAGGATAACTAATATTTATACCGGAAGCAACAACTCGTTCAGCGTTACCACGTTTATTTCTTAGGCACCTATATCGCTGCTTAGAACCGTTGTTACTCTAAGGTGTATATCTCTTATAATATAGTCTATTGCAGGGCGGCTTATCTTCCTTTCCCTGCCCCAATCTAGCGGCTCTTCCCGGTTAAGCTTCGAGCCTCTTCCTACTTTGTTTATAAAGCTCAAAATGATATTTTGGACAACTGTAGTATTTGGCTTAGCACAGCCTCTGATATACTTCTTAATATAGTAAGTAAGAGGGTAAAAGGAAAAGCAATAACTGTTTTTCACAATAATATCTATAGGCGAAAATATACTGCAATAAGGATTGAAATACACTTATATACTCTAGTATACAGCAGCTGCGTTATAAAGTGCCTATCGTTGCTCCCTGAAAACCGTCTCCTCCCTAGTTTTCTCTAAGTCACGATCTGTTATCACAGTCGGAGTCGGGTAATAAGAGCTCTGGTAAGTTAGCGCTCCGCCTAGTAGATAATACTATATAGTTTATATACCAATTGCGAAGTAAGAAAAGCCCAAAAGCCCGAAGTATCCGCCGATAAGATATACACCTAACCGGTCTCCCGTATACGAATACCTACGTATATATCTGCGCTGTATATCCTACTATATTCGTATACCTTTTTCATCAGACTTATTTTGCGACGGTATTGTTTTTGCTGTATCAATTTTATTTTCGAAGTGACTTCCTTGGACCTAGTGGCCTTAATAGCGGCTATTGAGCGGATTGCCTTGATATATAGGGGTATTTAGGAGAAGAGAAACCTATATAGAAAATATAGATAGCGGGGACTCTTATAAAACTTAGGTCTGCTAATAGGAAAGGGCTCAATAAATACAAATTTTATTATACGAAGGGGAGTTATCAATTATAGAACGCGAAAAGACCACGAAAATTGGTCTTTTATATATTGAACTTATAAGGCGGCCCCCGTAAGACTAGAAGGGTATTTACCGGTGTTATTTGCGGTTATTAAATAGGTGCGGTAAGGTGAATATAACCGTTCTTTTAACGTTATTGATACGTTGCCCGCTATACCTTTTACGTGACTGCAACGTCACTACAGTATACCTTCAGCACCAGTAACCCTTTATATTGATCGAAATATTCATCAGTGTATATACCTGATCTTAAGCAGCCGGGTAAATAAATTTATCATCGGTCAACGTAAAAAAAAGACTGTTCCGGGCGGTGCCTAGATATTAGGAAATACGCGTTATTTAGGGCGGAGGGTATAGTATAGCTAACAGTATTTAATAGATATTAAACTTTTTTCACTGTATTTGTATTAATTATATATAAACGAATTAATCAGTTTATTATTCTTTTCGGCCGTTCTTTACGCCCCCAGCGGAAAGTTTATGTGATTATATAGCTGGGCAGAATCATAGTGTCGAGACACTGGAGAGAGGCAATAAAATATATACCCTGCGATTGAGAGACTAAAACCCGATCTACTAGTCCTAGGAGATAGCCTTATCAATCAGTTTTAATAACACAAATTAAAATACAGATATAAGTGTAGGTAACAGAAAGAAGAGGTGATATATATTGACTGGGTAAAAAGCTGGTGTAAATATTTTTTAGAGTGAGGTATTATATTGATAAACGATACGATAAAACGGTTATTGGGAGTCGACCGAACGTATATTGTTAACGACGATACTAGTGTTACAGAATAATAAGGATAGAATAATTAATAGCGTGCTAAGAGTTATCAACGAGCGTAAGAAGGCCAATCAATACTAGTAAAGTATAAAGGTCAACGGGTAAGAGAAGATTTATAGCCGATAAGAAACAATTGATTGTCTCAGAAATCCGACTATAAAATTGTTGAAAACAATAAACAAACCGATTAATTTATTTATCTTTTTTATCAACGCAGTGAAAGAAAGTGTTTATTAAGTATAATTGGCTAGGAAACACTCTCCACTTTAAACCAAGCGAATTTCCTAATACCTAGGTACCCCCAATATCTGTTAGAAGAATTATTTTATCCTACCTACCCACGAATCTAGTGAAAACCTTAAAGAAAAGACTTAACCTAAAGGAGCCTTAAACGGCTGAATCGACCTACCTAATAAGCTATAGATAATAGAAGACAAGTGTCGTGCTTAAATGACCGAGAATAAACGTAAGCAACGAAGGATATAATATACCCTTGGAAGTTCACCAGCCTACTTATATAGCTTATATCGATCGGTACCTGGGGCTTTAGTACGCTTTAACAGCCGTAGGTCAAATACCTACTCCGAAGGCCCTGTTATCGGCAGCTATTTTCTACTTTACGTATTCACTCGGACCGAAGCGGTTTAATATCTCCTTGTTGATGAATTTTTACGGTGTATCTCTAAAACATATTATTTAAGAAAAGTGCTATTTTTGTCTGGCTACTTTTGTATAAATAGGATTTTTATAGTGAATGATAGCGGAGTCTCTTTCGTATTTACGCTAGTGATATAGAAAACCCGTAAGGGAAAAACCACACCCAAAGAAACCTATCTACTATAGTAAGAAAGATATAACTGCCTTATATCGTCCCTAATATTTTACTGTTTCTCTTATTTATACCTAGGGCAGCTAGAGACCGGACCTGATTGTGCTGTCGTAGACAACGGAGAAGACACCGATAAAGTTAATAAAGTCGATACCGACCTATTCGATACTGAGGAAGTCGATGTCCCTGCTGGGGATATTCCTACTGAGGATATCGCCGCTGAGGATATCCCCGCTGAGGATATTCCTGCTGAGGATATTGCTGCTAAGGATATTCCTACCGAGGATATCCCTGCTGAGGATATTCCTGCTGAGGATATCCCCGCTGAGGATATTCCTACTGAGGAAGTGGGTGACGATAAAGGTATACTAGAAGCAATACACGAGCTGCCAACCTTCAATCCATTGTGTAATATATATCCTACCTGATCTCCCCCTCGGTTGAGGAATTTGATATCTCTATTATCGTTTACCTATATCTATACAACAGGCTGGCCGTTTTCCGAGCTATATATATCCACTTTTAGGTTAGAGTATTCCTTACGAACACTATATATAATATTGCTTAGATCTAGCTCTTCGTTAATACCGATAAAATATCTATAGAAACACCCCTTACCTGAACAGTTATCCCTATTAAGGAGACCAAAAGACACCGAGTATCCTGTGTATCTATGGTTATTATCAGACCATATCACGCATTGGCGATCGTAATCGATAACTTTGAGACCGCCACCTAAGGCGGCGCGTATATAGAGACCAGCAAAAAGTAGGAATATAGTGAAGGCCATTCTTATTTTATCTTACTAGAGATTGGAGAATAATATACAGATACGAAGTATACGGTGGGTTGTTTTTATATACTATAGCTACGAATAGCCTATAGCTCTTTGCGACACACTTTTTTTAGGAATTTGTTCCGGTGCTGAAAAGGAGTCTTAGACCTGCGCGGGGTCGGTAGTTATTGCGAGCCGAAACAGTGTCGCGTAACCAAAGTATTCTGAAATATAGTAACCCTTAGTTTTGTAGGAGCTGTATACTAAGAATAGCTTCTCATCGATTTCGAATCTTTATCACCAGCTCAAGCTTATTAGCTAGTGCTATCTGTTACTGTAGGACTTTGCAAAAATCTAATCAGACTCCTATACAGTATTCTCCTATTCTAATGGATAAGGTCGAAAGTTTTTCGCTTTGACGAAGATATAGAATATTGTACTAAAATTAGAACCTACGAAGGAAAAACTATAATTCAATCGATGCTATATTAATGTGCGAGCTATTTTAGTCTCTTAAGCCGGCACACTATATCTAGACCGCTTTTTATAATATATATATACAATAATCTATGTACCTTACAAGGCATCTTTAGCACCGTAAAGTAGTCGCGCCAGTTTTGGGATATACTGTACGTAGCCTCAATTATTTTGCTATTATCCTACCCTATTGTATTAACCCTGTTAATCTGAGCTTCAATCTCACGATAATGTTCTTCTATAACTATCTTAAGCTTTCTAAACTTATATATATATATAAGAAAAGCAGAGGAGGCCACAGACAGACTTAAAGCCACGAAAGTCAAAAGCGCTATAATTGACCAATCGCCGTCTTTTGCTGTGTATATATTGACGATAGTTGTTAAAAGCCCCGCTAGGGTATTGGGGAGAGTTGGACTTACAGTAGATAGATATTAGAACTGCTTGACTGGTATATATGTAATTTAAACACCTATATAAATAACCTATTTATAAGCCAAATATAGTTTTATTGGAATCGCCAATATAGCTATGATATAATAGCACAACCAATCATAAAGAGGACACTAGCTGTGGCTAGTAGCGGTGGATTCTGTATAGTGTTTAGAATAGCCTCCCTAGTTTTATCTTTTAACAGCCCTTGTTTCAGTGTATCTGACTTCTGCAATAATATAAATATTCCGGGAATAACCAGATATCCCGCAAGTAATATCCAGTGTGCTAAACTGGCAAGAATATTGTATTCCTATAGTAATTGATCTGAATCAACAACTATCCGTATATAGCGAGTCTGATAGAAATTATTATAGGATATTATATTGTTAAAAGTAAGAGGACTTAGATTTTCTATATTGCTCTTTCGAGAGCAAATTGTTCAATCCTTTTATCTGCTCGATAGCTTGGATACTAAAACGGCACGATATATAAACCAGAACTTAGTTTAAGTCAGACAACTTGTTCCTTTGCTAGGAGTAAATAATAATGTGTTTAAAAGCGACACTTTACTATCTCCCTTTTTCTACACTTAAGGCGGTTTCTTGTATTACAAGTATTTCCCCTTTTTGTTTTACAGTAGCTTTAAGTTATCCTTCAATTTTCTAATATAAAGTCAAAGAATTCCTCCCCCTTTATACACTGTGTTTCTCGGTATATAACCGAAACAAGGTTAATCCGTTTTAGAGTGGGCGGTAAGTTTATAACCATTCAGAAAGGGCCCTTTTTTACGGCTTAGCTAAATTTGGTATCTACCCGATTTGATTATAGGCCGAGAGCAAAGTGTATATACCGAAGGGGTAAACTGTTTTCGAATTCTACTGTACACCTCTAAATATATTAGTGAGATTATTTTCTCTAATATATAGGACTAGAATTTCCGATATTCGTGGCCTCCTCCTATAAGCATTGGTATCAGATTGATAAGCGATAATTTTGCAGCTCGCTTACTACAGAATAGTATCAGATACTGAGTGAACTCTAACCAGATTATATACTTACAGTATTTCCAGCAACGTATATAGTTACGATAGCCAGCTGAAAACTCAGAATCGACCATAGACTACGTCTATAGATTATATAGACCAAGAAGAAGCGTCGAAACTTGAATAACAGAAAACGAAAGGCGTTTCGAACAAGATAATAGAGAATGAGAGATACAATAATGATTCCAATTGTGATAGAATATATCCCTTCGGTCGATCTCAAATAACTGATTGAGAGCATTTTGGTTAGATTATAGAAAGGTGTGGGTTTGAAAAGATATATCAATTGTTGTGTACTTTTATATACTGCTATCTACCAAAAACAAGCGAGCCGAAAACGGCTCGTAGATCAGCCCAATATCTTACGTACCCTGGATTATTTTATATAGATTCCTCAGACAATATCTCTTTCAAAAGCTTTTCCCGTAAGGCAAAGTACGCACAGAGCCGTTTTAACTCTTCGATAACAGCGTCGGTTAAAGGACCAGCTATACTATTCTTGGATTCTCTTTTTATACCCGGAATTTGGGTCTCCTATACGCTGATTAGTCAAAGCGTTGATATAATAAAGAAATAATAGTACACACGAGAGTTAAATCTGGCGGAGGCCAATTAGGGTTCTCCGCTGAGTTATAAACCGTCGCGCCACGTGAATAGCTTATAATCAGATAAATATCAGCGCTACAGAGCTTCGCCAGCTTATCCGCTTTGGATAACAGTGTACTTATTCTCTTTCGATATCTCGCTCGTTCTTTTCTGTGTAGATCAAAGCGATTAGGAGCTATAGTGTAAAGCGTATTGCTGTTAATTAGGTATATCACAGTTTAGAATTTTTTTATTAAGGGAATAAAGGAAGATTGACGCAAAATATATAAATTGATAAATAATACTATACGCTAGTTACAAATTCTTTTTCGTCTCTCGCTCCGAGAATCCGCCGAATCACGCTTGCGCCGCCTATCTTGAGCCCTAACTCGCACTCTATCTTCCGCTATATTATAAGCTGTATATAGAGCCCTACTGGGGTATCTATAGTCAGCCTAGCCAAATAATGAGTTTAATCCCTGCTTCGCAATCAGCGACGACAAAGTTATAGGAAAACCATTGATTTTCTATTGACTTTTATTATCTGCGCGGATGTATATATTGAATACCTTATCGATATAACGTACAAGGAATACAATTGGATAGCTATAGTATCTATAAGATAAATATAGTCTATTAAGCCCGGTAAAACTACCGACTATCCCGCAATCCGAGGTATAGCTGAGGCCCTAAGGGTGGAGCCTTTGGAGCGCTATAATCACGCTTCGAGCTGGTCCTTTACACCGTATAGTACCGCGACACTAACTTAGCGCGGTGGAGTTATCTGCCCCTTCGCCACTAAGAACAAAGTAAAATCGAGAGATTAGGAAGGTGATCGCCGCTTCCCGGGCTATCCGAGCGCTTCTATATTGAAGCAAAACAAGGTCTCGATAATTATCTATTGACTCCACAGTATCAATGTGGCTAGGGAGCGCCCTAAGAGTTATATTTAAGCGATAGTAATCTGGTCGGTTTACTTCGTTTATACGGCTCTTTATTCTTCGCTAATCACTTTCGGTATCTATAGAAGACATCTATACATCAAATCCACGACGTATAAATCTATCACGAAAGATATAACGGAAATATGGGGTAGAATGATTGCTTTGAGGCTCCGCAGCTCCGGTACTAAGTGATATTATTCGCGTAGATCCTTTAGAATATAGCCAAATTTGATAGGAAATTTGCTGAGCGATTTCACCCGCGAAGTTATATTTTAGGCCACCGTCCTGAAAGGTACCGATTCTAAGGTCTGCAGGGGTAAAAAAACTAGCCAATAACGTCAGCTCGCACTTTCCACTAATCATATTATAAGCCACCGGAATACCTATAAGGGAGCGGCCGCTGTTACTCTTCCCCTAAAAAGTATATTAGTACTGGAGTGGAGCCTGGTGGAGATATACTATATCTTACGCTTCCCACGCTTTTGGTTTATATTTAAGGTCTTAAGGTCGCAGTAAGTTGTACTCTGTAGGTATAGAGTCAGCAAATAAATCTTGTTCGGTAAATTCTATAATAACGAGCCCTTACTATAATCATTATATAATATATAAGATTGATTGAAATTACCTATAACAAACGTATCTGTATCTTTGGAGATACTTATAGTCACGACTCCAAATTTCGACCCCGTATACAAAGACCCACTAGGATCATCGGAAGAAACACCGAAAACACACCGATTCTTACTAAAAGTATCTTTAAGCACTGTATCGAATACACGGGAATTATAACAGCTATTATAAAGCAGCCACTGTATCTATCTCGTTATATCACCTATAATCGACTACCTAGTAAGCTAAGGAAAAGTCGACTGGTGTCTTTGTTAGAAGATTTGGATTGCTAATTGGTTAAAAATCTTAGCGCAATACGAAATATCCCAGCGTATAAGAAATAGTCCAAGGACTATCAGACTACCTAGACACAATAAGCGTATAATTTGCACTTTAATATATACTTCGTACTTACCTAAACTTATACTAATAGTAAGATCAACAACGTCCTGTAAAGGGTAATCTCCTAAATTTTCTTAAATCAAAAAAAGAAATTCTAAAGGAATAACCCCTCTCACACCCCCGCCGTCGATAGTAAGGATTAAGGGGCTTATAATTAGCGGCAGTATATCGCTAATTAAGGGCCGTTGATAAAGGCAGTAGAGATATCCTTTCACGACGAAGCGGTACTTAAAGCCTTTTGTAGGTGTTCCAAAAACCTGAACACATTGATCGTATACGGTATAGCCGTATACTAATACGTGCTGGGCAGAATAATAGAGACAATATAAACAAATTTTGTTGCTCCTAATACTGGATAGCTACCTACTTTAGGATATCAATTGCTCTTTCCGTAAATCCACCGACGATATCATATCTCTAGAAAAACGGGTAAAGAGTAAATCTATATAATACTCAATTATTGCTGTGAAAGCTGTGGGGTAGAACTCCGACTATAAGTCTTTGCTTTGAGTTAGCGCTTCGATCACCGTAGGCCGATAGAGAGCCCAGAACACTATACGAGGATCGAGCCCTGTTTTCCCTATTAATTAATAAAAATTTATCGACTAGTGCGAGTTATACCAATCATTTCAGGTGTATAATAGTCTATAAATAACGCTGACGTAACAGACGGCGCTAAATCTTATAGTCGTTTCTCTGGCTGAGCCCTAATTTCGAAATAGTGCCCAAGATTAGTGATTAGGTATAGGCTTACTTCACGACCTATTCGGGTAGCTCCAATAAGATCAAATAGGCGCTCGATATCCCGTAAAGTGTGGTTAAATACAGCCTGAAATAAAGCCTTTAAATTGTCAGCGCTGAGTAAGATATTGTGTCTTTGGCGAATAATTCTTATACTGTCTAATTGTGCCGCGATAAAAGTTCTCAATCGCTTATATCGAGCTGTCTCAGAGAGCCAGCCACCGGCCAACCAAACTTTATAGACACCAGAAAACGTAGAATCGAAATTTCCTTGTACTGTATACTGCAGCCTTTAACAGACTTCTTTCTGCTTTCCCCCCGATACCTATTCTGTAGTTTCCTGGAAAACTAGAATTATTTGTAGCTGGATATCGTGGGGTAAAGGGGATACTGATTGTAGTCTAACACAGCACTCCAAGAATTCTACGATCTTATCTAGACCTAAAAAATCTTCGGTAAAAATATATATAATATCCGTAAACAGAAAAACGAGACGGGCCTAGATTACTAGCAATAGGGTTTTTCCCGACTTACAATCCCACCAAACAGGGTGGGCCGTAGGCTAGAGCCTCTTCGACGTTGGGGTGTGATTCCTTTATCCGGTATCACTATCAGCAAAGAGGACTGGCTATTAAGAGTTCGAAGAGGCTAGATCCGAGCGCAACTTTATATTTGCGTCGGAGTTATATCGTTTAATGTTATTGCGAGGAAAAAGCTGCTGAAGCGCGTAGTCCTTGTTCTTTCTTCCGAGAAAAGCACAGACCAAAGGATATTGACTCTGAGAATACGCGAGTTCACTCGCTATTTCCTAAAGTCGACTGTATTTGCTAACGGCTATTCTCGAATCGTCTCGTATACCAATATCAAACCAACTGACGTTATTTATTTGCTATATTCTTAGAAGATTCTTGTTGTTCAAAGGGGGTGAGAAATATTCCTGGGATAAATTCTTATAGATTTAGTTAAGCCTTTTTATCCTTATAGGCTATTCTACGACCTATTTTAGTTCTGATTATAAACAAACGGAGCTATAGTATCGCACGGTATACACTTAAAGTTTTATTATAAGGAATAAATAGCTACTAGGGTAACGTTTACAGCTTTTAGGGAGGGAAAGTGGGAAGTGGGAGGGGAAGTGAGACAATAGTTCCTATAAAGCCAATTGTAACCCCAGTTATACCAATAACGACTAGGATTATAAAACCGTTTAGGATTATACTAAAGTAGGCTCTTATACCACCAGTATACACCACGGCACAGATTTCTAGCGTTTTGTGATAGTCGGAGGCGAAATATAAAACCCCGAAACAGCCCCCCCCATTCTTAAACACTAACCCCTATTCCGTATTATTTAAGATATTAGCAGACGAGGTATTCAGCGAGTTGAACACTGCCCTATCTAATATAAGCAAGGAACCAAGTGATAGTTCGCCTATATTTGTATAGGCAGATCTTATAGGACTATTGGCCTAGGCCCAGGATAAAGGTGGCAATATTTTCCCTTCAGATTTTACCGGTATCTTTGATAGTCAATCTGGTAACTACTAATTTGGACTTAGTGATAATATATATAGAAATACTCCCGTATCGAGCACAGAGCACAGAGCTAACACTAAGATAGGACGATACCTTCGGTATTAGAAAGGTGAATTTATTAATCCTAATAATATTTGATATGACTTTAATAATTCTAAGTCTCTTTAGAAACACAGAATCCTTACAGATAAACTCGATATCTTATACGTTAGATAAGTATTTTTCAAACGTGAAAAACCTATCTACTATACTGAGTGGCTTAGAGACAGCAGTCCGAGGTTTGATTGTCGAGGTAGAAAGACTAGCGAACCGAGTTAATAAGTGTGAGGAAAGGGTAGGAGGAGCTTCACAGGGTATTATACAGCTAGTGGATATCCTCCAATATATCATCAGACGTAAATAGGCTGCAATAAGTAAGTTTAGTGATTTAGCTAGCCGATATAGAACTTCGAATAAGAATAAGTAGGTAGATATATAGCCTGAAAGAGTAAACCTGACTATCTTCTTGTTTATACTACTGTGCGTAAAAAACAGAATATATTTCTTTTCTTACATCGTTCTAATATATAATTCCCTATATATTATTATCCTTTTTTATTAATAAGAATTCGTAATTAAAAGGCGTCCTTTTCCATTCTAAATAGTATAAACGTACTATTATCGGCTCGCTCGAGCGTTCCTATTATAGCTTATCACGAGGCAATAACCCTTTGGCCCTAGCCTATACAGAATATTTTAGGACTCTATCTTATAAATACCGCCTCCCTCCTCTGTCAATATATTCCTCCAAGAAACGAGAAATAAGCTCCCCTAGAACCCCAATATCAAGAGCTATAGGGTTCCTCCCGGTCCGGTCCCCCTAGGTACGAACATTGCTTATTTATCAGTATAATATCTAACACAGATTAGGGAACTGAGCCTACCGAAGTCTGTCAATCTAATATAGAGGCCCTAGTTAAGAAGTTGATATCTTAAGATTAAAGATCAAGGGCTTATCAATCTCAATTGGAGGTAAAGATCCAGTGCGATAATATATTATACCAGCGAGTATACTATTATTCTGCGCAACTACAATAAACCATCGATATATTGCAATACCAGCAAAATATAAAAATAAGAAACGCCGCTAGCGCTTCTGAGGTTATCGCGCGCGAGCTAGCTCTGGAACGACAAAAGGTTCAGGAATTAGAGGCGCGGGTTATCACTTTCGGTCCACTTATTGAGAGAGCGGTGTCTCGTGCCGAACTTTCGGGTGATTCCTAAGAGAGACAGCTCGCAGTTATTAAAGAGAACGAAAATCAAAGAGCAATTATCGCCTCCCTTCAATCCACTCTTTAAGCCCGCGAATCTTTAGCAGTGCACTTAAATAAAGCACTAGCGGAAGCGATAAGAGAGTTAAATAAGTACGAGAGGCGACTTGCGAGATCAGATTCTTCTTCTGATATTGAAATTGTGACAGATTAGTGACGCTGGCTTTTGTTTTTTCTTTTTTCCTTAGTATATAGCACAATATATTCGCAATAAAACTTCTTTTTATAACGCCTAATTAATTTATAAAATTCGTTTTTTTTTTTTTTTGATTCTTAACAAATAGAGTTATATATATAATTTGTGTGAGATAAATCAATTGAAGAGGGGAATACTTAAGGCAGTATATTCTCTAGGGTACGGGTCAATAGACGCCAGTCTAAGAAGTGGATTCAGAGAGTGTAGTAGTGTGAATTATCAATAACTATCTGCTACTTATAACCTCTGTCTATCAATACTCATAACAAATCTCAAAACAAATAAAAGGATAGGTAAGGCAAATATAGAGTGAGAGCTGGGTTCCCCACTATAATATATATCTATATAAAGCCCCCAGCCGGACCAGGCTCCTCTATATCCCAGAGATCAAGATAGCGTTTCTCTGACTCTTCTATTCGTGTACGTGTTTGTGTAAGAGCGTCTTCTATAGCTCGAAAAATTTCAAAGATTCGTTAATACAGTTGCAAAAAGATCTGTTTATTTTCCTTTTACCATTGAACTTCAGCTTTTAGGTAGCTCACTTTATAAGCCAAATCCTCGATCTTTTGTCTGTAATTTGGTGATAATAGCTTCGAGCGTTAAATCCGAGAAGGGAGTCTCTCTATATTGGAGGATATACCACTATAACGGAGGATCTTATAATCCGTTGGTGTTATCTCCTCAGAGATTGGCTCGAGGGTACGTAGGTTAAAATATTTATCTATTGCTCGTAAAGTAGGGGATAAGTACAAAAATAAACCGACTAGGGAAAGGAACTGGACTATATTTTAAACGACAAGCTAAACAGTTGCTGTGCCGAAAATAGATCGGTAATATATAACGTATATATATTAGGTTAGTGCCTGCTGATCCTACGAGGTCCGTGCTAAATATATATAAACTCAATTTTTAGAACACCCCAGAACTTCCTGATCGGTAATCTATCTTAGGTTCGCTGTATATATTAGTAACGCCACAGGGCTGGATCTATATTTGACCTTTGTCTTTCTTTTTCTTTTGCAAGAATAGTATATATATAAGTACGAATATCGCAGTGGGGAGGTTATATACAGTATAATTCAACTTAAACTATAATAAGTTACTACAATATCAATTTGAACAACTTAAAAAAAAGGTGATAACAAATATCCTATAGTAAGAATATATCTATATAGATAGTAAGACAAATTTCCCCGCTATCCATTATAAGTTGATTGATCTCTTGGTATTCTGTGCTTAGTACCCAAATATTCCAGCTTTGCTTTCTCTAAGGAATTAAGTTAGAGAATTTTGACCCGACTCTAGCCTTCCAAATAATACTTATTTGTTCGTCCGGAAAAAAAAGCTGTCGTGTTTTAATATATTCCTTATATATTGTGTGAATACAGATTTTTCGCTTCGTGGGAAGGAAAAATAGTAAAAGTGTTGTGAAATAAGATACAGGTTGGTGCTTTATTGCTCGAACTCTCACAAATTAATTGTCTTTACTATCGCAGTAAACACAATACCAGGAGACGGAGCCGAGTATAGTTCACTAATAAGATAAGTTAATATCTCAGTCATAGGGTATACTATCTCTTACATTATTTTTCTGTAGCAGAAATATATAGGGATAAGAAAATTAGAGCAATAGAAGCTTTTAACTAAAAACATGGTAGATAAAAGCTAATATATAGTCCCCTTTAGACCTGTAAATTCAATTGAGAGATAATGGGATTTCCGGAGAGCTACCTTTTTCAATATACGAGCCTATTTCAATGTGCGAGCCTTTTTCGATATACGAGCCTTTTTCGATATACGAGCCTTTTTCGATATACGAGCCTTTTTCGATATACGAGCCTATTT